ATATTTTATGCATGTTTAGCTATGAAAGTCTCCCTAGGGTAGACATCCAGAAGCCCTGAGACTGCTGCAGGGTGCCGCCATTTTGGACGTGATGTCGGCAGACTCAATGCTGTCACTCAAGTGACTCTCCTTTACTCAGAAATAGAAGTCACCAGCACACCAGTCTCCACTCTATTATTATTGACGTTGGATAATCGTAGCATTACATTGAAAAGCAACATTTCGGGACTAAACGAGTTCCTTCATCAGGCAAAGTGTAGTCACTCCAGCACCCACCTGTGGATCTCAAGTCTATATTGGTCAGGAGTGCGATGGGACTTCTATGTAATTGACTCTCCTTTACTGCTCCCTTGACGGCTACATAAAATGTTAGGTGGGGAGGGGCGGAGAAGCTGGGCCAGCATAGACAGTCCCAGAAGAGAAGAGGGCTATTAAGTGCAAGGAGGGAGGGTGGACAATGCTAGTCAGGAGGGAACTGACTCTTCCTCTAGTAGTCAAATTTTCTAACAAATTCAAAGGCAGAGGGTCTCTTTTATAAATGCGGTATGAACTGTAATGAGAGGGCACAAATCGCAGTAGTCCATAGCAATCCACAAAGATACAATTATCAGTAAAATGATGAAAACTGGATGTTCTCTATTGGTTGTTGCAGTTTGCAGATTCCAAAAACCTTCAGGTTCCTATTTGGTATGAATGACACCACTGTATTCTCCCCACCCACGGTTTTAAAATGAAGCCAGTGATTTATTTTAGATGTTTAATTAAGGGTATCTCCCTAGGAGCCTGCAGCTATGCTGTTTGCCCAGTCGTGAGCGGTTCCTGTAGTCTCTGTGATGGGATCAGAATAGACTTTGCTGTGTATACAGGGAAGGAAAACATGTTCAGTCTATTCTGGACAGAGAATCTGCAGACACGTTGTGACCCAGCCCTTTTGGAAGATGGAATGATGAATTTTTATATGCCTATAATGTGTAAAAGTTAAATAGTAAAGAAAAAAAGATATGAATCACCGGTTAAAGATAGCATGCTGAGAAAATTTGAATGTTGACCTCTGATTGCTTAACTGAGGGATGCTAAATGTTCAAGTTGAAGTCCAGGAACAAATATTATTGAAATCTATTCCTCAATAACCACAATGAATATACATTCACTTTGTGTGCACCAAATGCCTTTCCAAACTCAATTATGACATTGTAAAAGTAGTGATAACATCATTACTGTGCTGTACATAACATGTGCATAGAGCAGAGCTGTGGGGGGACCTGGAAGAAACACACAAAGCACACCAAGATTCAATGAGAAATACACATGACTCTTGTCTTTGGACAATATTTATCTTGGAGTTTTAGCTTTAAATATATATATATTTTTTAAATCAGATAATTTTTATTGTTTTTTTTTACACATACATAACCATAAGACAGTATACATGCTGCTCTGCAACATACAGAGCGGTAACATTAGAACAAATAACATTAGCCATGCGACCGGGTTAGGAGTACATACACATGTTTCAGGGGTGGGAGGGGGACACATATAGGGATATAGCGCATATCCAGAACTGGTACATAAAACACTTAGAAATAAAAAGACATAAAAAAATATGGATTTGAATGGTTGCCCGGTTTGGGAGATGGGGAGATATGGCTCTCCCCCGCTCCCACCACCGCCACCCAGATATTCTGCCGCTTCCGGCCATTACCATCACATCATATCCCATCTACCATTTCCATGTGATTTGTGCATGCATATCCTCCTTATTGCTTACTTCCTAAACTATACTGGCCTACCTCGCTGCATTTGTTCAGGACCTCCATCCCGGTTGTAATTTCCAATCTATTACTCCCGCCTCCTCCACGTCTCCACCCCCTCCTCCGCCACGCTTGCTCCTTTCCGTCCCTGCACCCCACACCCAAACTGGTGCAACTAACGGGCATTATCTTGTGGCGCCTGCCTGTTCAGCCACCTGTCCCAAATACTGTAGAATTTTGTGACCCTAGCCCTATGTTATGTGATTTTTTTTCCAATGTTATGAGGCGATCCAACTCTCCCATCCAAGCCACCGCCGTCGGTGCAGCTGGGGACATCCATTGGAGGGCAATAATCCTCCTTGCTGCACTGTCAAGTGGGAGCAGTGCGGATTTGGACCAGTTGACATATAGGCCAGAAAATTGCCCAAACTCCGAAAGCTTGGACATAACTTCTGCGAGAGAGGTCTGGGTGTCTGCCAGAAACAGTAGCGTATCGTCTGCGTACAGGGCTATTTTGTCCTCACTACCTCCCCTGACGAATCCCTTAATCTCTGGCGATGAGCGTACCATAGAGGCCAACGGTTTCATGGCTATGGGAACGAGCAGGGGGGAGAGAGCTCCATTTAGGCGTATCTGTGCCACTGGATCCCTATATAACAAAGCCACCCAGGAAATGAAGCATGGTCCAAAACCAAAGGCGTACAGCGTGGCCCATAAATACGACCACTCTACGCTGTCAAACGCCTTTGCTATGTCCAGCGCAAGGAGAGCCCTGCCATCTGAAAGATCAACAGGGGCCTGCATGTTGAGATAAACCCTGCAAATGTTCATCGCTGTGGACTTGTGTGGCATGAATCCTGTCTGATCTGCATGTATGATGGATGTAATTACTTTAGACAGCCGCATAGCCAACACTTTATCGAGTATTTTGACATCTACTCCTAGGAGCGAAATAGGTCTGTATGCATCAGGGAGCAGGTGATCCTTCCCCTTCTTCGGTATAAGAATCACCGCTGCCCCGTACATAGAGCGTGGTAACATTCCTGCCACTAAGGCATCATTCAGGGTATCCAGAAGCACAGGGAGCAACACCTTGCCATACTTATAAAGTTCAATGGGCAACCCATCCAGACCCGGGCCTTATCGTTGGGGAAGCTAGAGCCCGCAGCCTCCAGCTCCTCCAACACCAGCAGGGCCTCCAATGCATCCCGTGCAGGCTCGGCAAAGAGATATTGCAGAGGTAGACCCTCAGCTCGGCCGGCGTACACCCAGTTTTAGAAAGGTACAAATTCTTGTAGAATTCAGTGAAAATGGACAAAATACCCTCAGAATCAGAGCAAATCTGACCCGTGTGACTTTTCAATGTGGCAACAAAGCATGGCCCCCCTGGATTCTAGAAAGGTGGGCCAGAAGTTTACCTGTGGACTCCCCCTCCTCCCACCTCATCTGGCTTGAGAAGAATAGTTTGTTCCTGGCTTTCTGCAAAAGCAGATTAGCCAGGAAGGCTTGTTTCGTTTCCAGGGCAGCCAGATGAGCGGGGGTGGGGGAGAGCACATATCCGGCCTCAGAGGAGGAAACTTCTCTCAACGCTTCCACTTCCGCCCGTCTGCTATTGGATTTTAATACGTTTATCTGCTTCATGAGCAGACCCCTGGTATATGCCTTGAAACAGTCCCACACACAACCCTGAGGGGCAGTACCTGTGTTCAGGGACAGAAAAATACGCATTTCTTCCTCTAGCGATGCACCTTCTGGGATCAGCGTCAGCCAATATGGATTTAGTTTCCAAGGAAGGGATGGAGGCTGTCTACCGGCTCTGAAGGTGGGGAGTATTGGGGCATGATCCGACAAGGATCTGGGCAAAATATCTACCGTAATAATCAAGGGAAGGAACTCTGTGGAGCACAGGGCATAATCTATCCGGGAGAGGGTTCGGTGCGTGGCAGAAAAACAGGTGAATTGTGTGGTATCCGGATGAAGATTACAGCTTTAAATATTTAAACACCCCTTAGATATTGTATTATTTTTCCATTTACCTTCAAAAACCACTATCATAGCATTCCTGTTCCTCAGATTACAGTTGGAATGAGGTGGTTCACAGACTTAAAAAGCCAGTGGAAAATCCCTGGGCTGTAGCTTGCTATTGGTGATCCGTTAATAATTAAAGAACCAGCAGTTAATCCTAAATAGTTTCCAAACTTTCCAATATTTTGCAAACACCTGTAAAATGTATTTAAAAAAACATTTAATGATATTTTGTGAACAAATAGAAAAAGATCATTAAATCATCAGATTTTACAAGTTAATACAATTACAAACAATATACAGTTACTTTTTTGCTACCAAAATGATTACAGTGCTAGCTTGAACACTTATGTACAGCAAAAATAATATTTATTATTATTATACAGGATTTATATAGCGCCAACAGTTTGTGCAGCGCGTTACAATATAAGGAAGACATTACAGTTACAATAGAAGTCAAGACAAGATGATAGGGAGGGTCCTCCAGTGAGAGCTTACAATCTGAAATATAATTATTATTGTTTTTTTCATTATTACTAACAAAATTTATTTTATAAACAGAGTAACACAGGTTCATTTAATTATGAGGTGTCAACCTTTTTTTCTTTTTGACTCACTGGAAAAACATGTAATAATTATCTGCAGCTTCTGTTGTCCCATGGCTGCTCATCCCGAACACAGCTGCAGTAGTGGGCGCTGTCACAGGGAAGAATATTTGTTTCAGCTCTTAAATATACAATTAAACTGTTATTGTTATATCCGTTTGATAAGTGCAAAAAATACTTGTTGATCTTGCCAGAAATCTTGTGAGCTGATAATGTCCTGTTCTCTCACTCTCATAATCGCCTGTGCTACACCGTTATTACTTACATTGTTCTTTGCATACAAAACCTTATCCCCTTCTGTTATGGAGAAGAGGAGGTTTTTGTAGTCCTGTCACGTTTTTGTTGTCTGGATACAGTATAATGAGTAAAAGTTGTCAGTGTAGCACAGGAAGTAAGTTACTAGAAGAATGACTAGAGGGAAATAATGGGGGGAAAAGAAGCTTTAAAAAAAAAAAACTAAAGCAGCCCCCACATCGAAGAGCTGGTAAGCTGTGCTGTATTACATTTTTCCTTTTTTAAATGTTAGTGCAACCCCTCTTATGCTCAATTTGGTTATTAGCTGGCATGTGCACTGATCATACACATCCTGCGCCTGTTCTGAACGTTGTTTTTCTTGCAGGTTGCCTGTTGCTGCGGCTCTGCGGCCTGTGCACTATGTTGCACTTGCTGCCCTGGGATCAAACAGTCTACAAGCACTCGCATCATGTACGCCTTCTTCTTCTTCCTTGTTACTGTGGTCTGTGCTGTGATGATGTCTCCAACCGTGGCTAAATTATTGGAGGAACACGTGAGTAGTACACTTGTTTGTGTATCTTATACTTTGCATTAGGGATTTAGACTGACAACACACTGCCAGAGTATTGCAAATTGTGCTATAGAGTTTGAGCATCATGTGCAACCGCTGATCAGTGCTTGGAATGTTCCAGAGATTTCTACCATATTGATAGAGATGTGTTGGTGCTGATACAAATGTAAAGGAGGCTTGCATGGTATATTGGTTGTTTCAGTTCAAGGGTCAAATCCCTTGCAGGGCATGGCACTCCAGCAATGCGAGATTGGTGTAGATGTCTTGCCACCCTTATCTCTTGGTGAGCCGTCTATCTGTCCATGTCTGCTAAAAGTAAACCTGTCCATTCTGGGGAAGGTAATAGGTTCACCTGGTAGTCCCTTCCCTCCTTTGTAGATTCTTCCCATCCCCTAATCTCACCAGCTTTCCTATTCACCAGCAATGTCCTGTGCAATACCCAGTATGGGGACGCATGTGACCTTGTCCCCTTCTTGATGCTTTGGCACCTGAGCAGCCAATGGCCAGGCCAAAGCACTGTCACGTGGGTGTGGGTAGAAGGTCATTAGCTCTGTGTAAGCTTTAAAACTGAATTTGCACAGAGTGGTGCAGTAGCAGAGAAGGTGGCCTACAAAGAGGACCCATTACTTTGCCCTTTAATGGAAAAAGTCACAGATTCACTTGGACAAAGTCACAGCTTCACTTCTCAGAAACCTGAGATAAATTCTGAGGCCATGACTGCTGAACTCTACTTTTGAAAATCCTTTTTCCCTGGCCACCAGATGTACAGAATTTACAAACTATGTATTGTGAGGGTCTGCTTGGCTGGGTGTATTTTAAGGGGATTGTTTGTCCATCTCACAGATCACATCCAGATCTGTATAAAGCTTTTGTGCTCTCCTAAAACAGCTCATTTATTTATATTCTCATATTTGCAATGCAAGGTTGTGATAGTGGAAAGAGTGTGATTGGGTGCTGTGCTTACACAGGTCTTTGATATGTTGACAAATGATCCCCATTATAATGTAAAGTTTACATGCTTGCTTGTTTAAAGATTGAGGAACTGATAATAGGGGTTTCAGATGACCTGATACAACGTTCTGGGTCCTAATAAGCTGTAAACCTGTTTCTAACACATGTGGAACGGAAGTCAGACTCGAGTATCACTTTGAAGTAGATGTGAAATTAATCATGTTATTGTGCCACTGCGAGAAATATGAGACGCTGCTCACATCAGATAAGAAATCTGGTTTGACTAGCCTGTTAGATTTTCAGTACTCGGCATAAAGCAAGTCGTAGATACTAATGCTGGCTGTACACACGGCGATCTGAATCTTTCAACCAGATTTTGTAACATAGTTGAATGAATCAAAGCAACGTAGAACCAACCGTTTATATGGTATGGATGCTGGAAGGCTGGTTGGTTTGATCATTTTTTTGGGGGGGGTAAAAGTTGTTTAAAAAAAAAAATTATAGTATAACCTGACGGGAAACAAATTTGGGTGGGGGGTTGAGTGTTTTGGTTAAGACTTTGATTATCACTTCTGCCAAAAAATAATATTTTCTTGGTTTATAATGCCTGCCTGATGGAATCTACACTCATTCCACTCATGACATCTGAAAGACCTCTTTCACATGATCCAATCAGGAGGGTATACGGGCGTACGTTTACATCCGGTTACCCCCGGTCTGGCACGATCAGGTCCGGCAAACAAATGGACTTCTGATGTATTTGTTTTTCTGGACTTGGCTGGAGCCAAGGTTAACTAGATATGAACAGATGCCTGTCCGACTACATATGGTTGCCCATAGACTAACAATGGGTTTCTGATCAGATCTGCCTGAAAAACTGACAGGTGACCTGATCGGAAAGCGCGTGTGGAAGGGGCTTAAGATTCTTAGAATAGAACCCAGTGCTGAAATAATGTAATTCCAGCATGCATGGGCAGCAGTTTCATAATTGCCAGCCAAAGGAAGAGGTTTTAGGCCAAGAACAAGTGCTGGAGATGATGGCAGTGGCGGCAACATAGCGACAAATGTGAGAATGGATTTAGCACTAGAGCAGAGCAAACTAGGAGGTCCAAATGTGGAAGTATGCTGTGCACTTTTCTAAATAAAGAATAGTTTGGGGTCCAGACAAATCCTAGGGGCCTGGTACCCAATTCTCCTTAAAAATTACAGCTGGCGAGTAAGTTTTGAGGTTTTTTCTAGTTCATGTCGATTTGCAGCTGGCACCTAAAAAAAAAAAAAAAATAAATCCTACTGGCTCCTTAATTCCATACTTCTCTTCTGTTCATTTACTTTCCATTTTGTTAATTGATAATAAACTAAGTTAAAGCCCTTTTCAGATTATTTTTTACTGTCTGTGTCCTCTTGGGGAGATTTCCTTTAATTTCCTGTCTCAGAGATGCTTAGCATTGTTGTCAGAACATTTGTCCCCATTTTGAAGATTTCCCCTCAACATTTGCTTATGACAACACTAAGATTTAGGATTTTAACTTACAGTGGTCATCGCGACAAATACAGAGGGTAAATCTCCTCAGCGGGGGCACAGACAATAATAAAGAATTGAAAGAGGGTCCAACCCTTCCCTGCTGTATCCAAGCTATAAAAAATTGCCTTTGCTAACTATTTAAAATGAATGTAAAAATAAAGAGAACGTGGGTTGGACAGACTGGCTTGTGAATTCCATATTAATTTGTCCACCCCTGGTTTAGGGAAATAAAGTGTAACAGCTAAATGAAGCATTATGTCACGTATCTTCAGGGAGCTTAAAGTGACAAGGATTGCCTCTCTTGCAACTCCAGTTCGAGACCCGTGGAAAGAGGAACAGTTCTATCAGGGCTCGGAGGGGCACGCTTGCCGGATGACTTGCTGCAGACACAAGGTCCAGGTCTTTGAGGTGAACTTCTAGTAGAAAGCAAACGCACCAGTGGAAGCAGTGTAGACAGAGCCGAAGTCAGATGCAAGCCAGGTGGACAATGTGCAGTCAGCGAGGTACCAAATCCGAAGACAGGATCGAAGTCGAAATACAGGCCGAAGTCAGGAACATGTGGGCAGATGTAGTACCAACCAGCAGGCAAAAGCGAGTGATCAGGCCTTGACTTAAAGGGGAGAGCCAGGATCAGCAGTCTATGAGCTGAAGTCACATAGGAGCCCATATTCACAAGGGGATCAAACGACCCGCATGGTGATTATGTAAGTCTGGAGCTAATGGTTAATTTAGCTAATCACTAGCTTCTTATTAAATTGTCATTAAAGATAAAGGAACATCCGTGGCTAAAGTAGGGGCTGATGAGTTTTAATGGGTGATTGATTGCCTGGACCTCAACGACTTAAACTGTAACTGTGCTGCAAAGTCTGGCCACAGCCATCTGTGCTAGTTAATGCCTAAAATGTGACTGTGGGTTAATGGAAGTATATTGTCCCTCTCATGTGCACTAATGTTTGAAAGCATAAATTATCTGATTGCCACTTTCTCTATAGGACTAAGTTTTATCTTTTAAACTGACCTGAATCCTAATACCACTATATAAATAATATATTTTAATAAATGCATCTCTGAAACAATGTGTAAACTTAGTGTGTGTGTGTGTCACCGAGCACCTGCTGCCTTTTTTCTGCGGCCAAAAATCAATACCTCTGACATGGAAAACAAGGCTAAGCGACTCAACTATGCATGAAAACATAGGACCTAGGGTGCAGACAAATGGCAGCAGGTGCTCTGGACTGATGGGTCAAAAGTGGAAATATTTGGCTGTAGCAGGAGGCAGTTTGTTTGACAAAGGGCTGGAGAGCAGCAGTGCAGCATAGTGGAGGTTCCTTGCAAGTCTGAGGATGCATTTCTGGCAATGGAGTTGGAGATTTGGTCAGGATCAATGCTGACAAATACAAGCAGATACTTATCCATTATGCCATACCCTCTGGTAGGCATGTGATTGGCCCCAAATGTATTCTGCAGCAGTACAACGACCCCAAACATACAGCCAATGTCATTAAGAACTATCTTCAGCGTGGAAGTGATGGTTTTGCCTCCCACAGAGTCCTGATCTCCACATCATGGGGTCTGTCTGGATTACATGAAGAGACAGAAGGATTTGAGGCAGCCTACGTCCACAGAAGATCTGAGGTTGGTTCTCCAAGATGTTTGGAACAACCTACCTGCTGAGTTCCTTCAAAAACTGTGTGCAAGTGTACCTAGAAGAATTGAGGGCGTTTTGAATGCAAAGGGTGGTCACACCAAATATTGATTTGGCTTTCTCTTCTGCTCATTTACTTTCCTTTTTTTTCTAGTACAATAGAAAAATAACAGTAGTACATAGTGTATTAGAAAATGGGTCAAGGATATCCACTATAACATCAATGTATCCTAGGATAAACATCTTTTAGTACAATCACATTTTAGCTCCAACATTATCCGGCACAATTTGTCCGCGTTAAACCATGCCTGATCATGCAGCGTTAGATAGATTGCATATCCTTTTTAATGAGCAAGTTAGGTGGATAGAGGTGAAGAGGTAGGAAGTGGGGGAAGGAGAGGAGAGGATACTAAGAGGAAAGAAAGACAAAAAAGTAGTATAGAAGAGGTAGACAGACATCGTCCCACGAGTCTCCAGCGGAACCAAATCACTGCACCGTGGTTCCTGCCACCTACGTAACTCCTTTCCGTGGGCTCGCTGCGAGTGGTCGAGGTCCCGCATTTCCGCATCTCCATCTCAGATAGGGCAGTCGCCCCCCGTGCCACCCATGTGTCATACTTTACATGTCCCCTAGTAGGGCATTATATTCCTGGGAGGTAGTAAAATCTACCCAGTAAAACCAGGTGTGATTAAACTGTGTAACTCTGTGATTAGCAGAGGCCAGGAGATCCTCCATTCTGTAGATCTCTCCGACCCTCGCCAGCCACAGTGAGATTGGGGGGGCAGACGTGCGCTTCCAGTATAGGGGGATGCACACCTTCGCCGCACTGAGTAAGTGCACTAAGAGAGACCTCTTATAGCGACGTAAGGGCATGGGTGCCAGGTGTAGGAGATATTTAGCTGGGTCAGACCCCAAAACAACCTCGGTCAATGTGTTGCAAACCTCAGCCACCTTATCCCAGAAAACTCTGAGCAAAGGGCAGGACCTGAAGATATGCAATAGCGTACCTTCCTGCGCCTGGCAACGCCAACAGAGTGGTGAGCACTGTGGAAACAGTCTATGCAAGGTTGTCGGGACTCTATACCATCTGACTTTGCATTTTTTTAATTGATAAAAATAAAAGCCCTTTTCAGATTTTTGTTTTTTACTGTCTGTGTCCTCTTGTGGAGATTTCCCTTAATTTCCTGTCTCAGAGATGCTTAGAGTCGTCGTCAGAACATTTGTCCCCATTTTGAAGATTTCCCCTCACCTCTTGCTCTTATAATGGTCATCGCGACAAATACAGAGGGTGACTCTCTCCAGCGGGGGGCACAGACAATAATAAAAAATTGAAAGAGGGTCCAACCCTTCCCTGCTGTATCCAAAGCTATTAAAAAAAATAAAAAATCGCCTGTTACTTACAATTTACCATGAATGTAAACATAAAGAGAACACAAAACCTTTTATGGTTGCCCTTTTAAATGAAAACTTTTCTGGAATTAAAGAACTACTGGGTAAAAACTTTATTAACACTTGCAGTGGGACTACCCTGCACTCCAAGCATTAATCTCTCGCTTTTTGCCTGGGGTCAGAAATAACAAAGTTATAGCACTTAACTTTTGCAATGGAGGGGTAGCGTAGGAACGTGCTGCAAAACACCATACACCCAAAGAAGTACAGGCGCTTCTTTGGTGCATATTTTGCCGCGCATATCCATTGGGATACAGCCAGGTAGCCCTCGGAAACGCGTGTTTGTTTTTTTTTACCGCGAATCGCGGTAAAAATGCGCGTCAAATGCGCATATTCGATACGCCTAGGTGTGAACCCAGCCTTAAGAAAAAAAATATTCCTTTCCTTGCATTCGAGCCCTCCTCTCTCACCTTCTCCCGGACTCGCAGTGAAGCACTAATCGACATACTTGTGTCAGCCGCCGTAAGAAACCTCGCCACTAATACCAGCAGATGGAAAAACTGAGGCAGGAGGGTGAACTGCAGTGACTTGGAAGTGAACAGTGGCTCATTATCCTCAGATAAACCTAAAGGCTACACTTACTAAAACCACATTTATTATTAATCTAGATTTATTCTATGTATAACCAAAGTAAGTCCCCATCGCCAGTTTAAAATGAGAATGTGTGTAGAATTTGGCAGTTTTTTAATTCTGTTATTAAAGATGGGCTAGAGACTTTGGCTTCAGACATGTTATTGAAATATTTTGAAGCAGTACCATCACCGTTATATCGCCAACAGACTTCCAGAGCAAATTCTCTGCTGACATTAGTCTAACATTACCATCAGACAGGCATCTACTGTTCTAGCTGGTCATGTCTATATCCTTGCTGACCATACACATGCAGATCTTTAAAGGAAACCTGTATAGGAGACATTTGTAGATTGATTTGACTGACCCTTTGCTGAAAATGCTACTTGCCTGGATGCCCTTTGCATCAATTCTTTTTTAGTCCCTGACCTACAACAAGCATAAGTCAGAAGAAGTGCTCAACCATGGCAACCTCCATGTTCATTTGCTAAATGTTTGATTAAAAATATATTGAATTTCCATAAGTTCTATGGAAATTTCACTCCTAATAACCATACTCATCCAGAAGTTTGTAAACTTACTTATTGAAGATGCACCACTTCACTCAGCCCTGTGAATACACTCTTCATTGTGTCACCACTAAGCTTGCCATCTGAACTACAACTCAATGTCTGAACTTCCCACAATGTAACATTATCATTGCTTGCTGAAACCAATGCATGATGGGATGTGTAGTCTTCAGAAATCAAGATTTATATCGCATCAAGCAGCAGGAAAAGAGATGCAAAGTATACTGGGAATCCAGGAAGTTGGTGAAAGTGATGGGCAGCCAGAAGGCAGCACTCAGTAAATAAAAGGGATTTTTCCAAGTAAGCTTTGATTGCATTATCCAAAACAACTATAGAATGTATTCCTATTACAATGCTTATGTTATAACAAGAGAGGATATGCAGCGATTTTACATCTTCTGCCAGAACTTCTAGACTGAAGCTGCAGAGTGCTTAAAGTAACTGTATTCTTCATATATGTCTCTAAATATTCTCTGGGTCTAATGTTCATTAGACTGGTTTTTATAACGCTATGACTAACAAATGCCATTTGCTTGGGGGTCAATAATTAGAAAAAGGGCACAGTTTCCAAAAAATCCATGAAAACGTATCAAGGCTGCAAATTCTTAGTTTTATTTTTATTCAAAGATTGAACCTGTTTTGCATTTGATTCAAGCGGCTGCACATGATTTTACAGGTAAACATTATTGTTTTATTATATTGATGATTTCTGTGAACAGAGCTAAAATTAGTAGTTGTGCTGAAATTATGATCACAGCTGGAGAAACCATGCACAGTGTAGAGTAAGGTACTGCTGCTCTTCCACAAATTTCCTATGGCGAATTAAGTTGTGGGAGCTTTGTGGCCAATAGCACAGATTGCCATTGAGAGCAGTGTGGGGGAGGAGCCTAAAAGTGGAAGACCATCCCACAAGGATCTAGAAAACCAGCAGGTGATATTGGATCGGTTTGTCTCCACCGAACAGTAATTGGTATTGGTTAAAATTACATGAGGGTCCATATTTGGATTTACCTCATCGATCTTAGCTCACCTCCACTTACTATATCTAATAATTGTTGTACGTAACTATCAACAAAATTCCTCCCGGGCCCCGATTCTGTTCTGGACCTGATAATCAGCTGCTGGGTATAAACCACTGAACGCTAACCTGAGATTAATTCTTGATCTTGCTATGATCTAATGTCTGATAACGATTATGATGTTAGTTTGCATAATGCTGTATTGTAAACATTTTCAATAAAATGTATTAAACGAGAAATTATATTTGTAAGTGCTGATTGCCGCTTTGTCTCTGACATCAATGTTTTCTGTGTCCTTACCAATTAGATTCCATTCTATGGAGATATCTGTGAGCACCTGAAGGCTGGAGAGAAGTGTGAGAATATGGTGGGGTACTCGGCTGTGTACAGAGTGTGTTTTGGGATGACTTGCTTTTTCTTTATACTCTTCATCTTAACTATAAACATCAAAAACAGCAGAGGCTGTCGGGCTGCAATCCACAATGGGTAAGAACAGCACATCATTTCAGGCTTGAGTGTTTATTATTATTATTTTTAGCCAATGGAAAGCTAACTAATAGACAAAAGAACCACACGAAAAATGTGCATTTATGTGCGTTTTTCAGGTGCTATCATTGAAGTAAATTGGGGCCAAAATGCGCAACTATGCGCCAAGTTTTTGAGTGTCAAGCTTCAAGCAACACTACGCTTAGGTGGGAACAGGCACAATGTAATATTGGAAATCCCAGTGTAGAACATTGAAGTGCTTCTACTGAAGTTTCAAATAGCACTTCAGATCACTCTGGTGTGAATGGGGCCTTACTGAAATATGTTTAACTTGAACAAAATTGTCTAAAAAAAAATAATTGCTGACTGTATTTGAATATTGGACAACCTTGATATGTTCGTGTCTGGGGCCTCTACACTGCATTATTGTAGTTGGTAGTTGGGCGCTAATGCATACCAAAGTACACAGCCATGGGATCTGGACTGTTTGTTTTTTTTTCTTTATTTTCCCAGCTGTACCATGCTCAAGAGGTACAGAAAATTGTCCATGTGGCAGCGATATGGAGGTCCCATAAAATAGCTTTATATCCCAGTAAGGGTTAAATTTTATAATAAAATCTTAACCATCTTTTAGATGAAAATTGTACTTTGGTTCCTTTTAAAGTCCATAAAAAAGGGAGCTCTTAATTGTAGGTGGAGGTTAGTGGGCTGAGTCAGCCCATGGCTTCTTATATGTCTCAGATGCTCCAGCAGCGAGATCTCACAGCTATAATTCCCAGGTCTGTTCCTCTTCCTGTGAGTGTTCTATCCACCTCTGTGTGTGTTCTTCCACTTGCTTTATAATATAAAAAAATACAACCCGACAGAATGTAATCCCTTTTTATAATGTAGGAACACCTAATAATAGCTCCAGCCAGTGTGCAAACCCAAAAGACTTGTTAACAAAAGAAATTGTGCATGGTTTTAAAGGAGAACTATGGGGTTAGGGCTTTTCCCCATAGTTCTCCTTAGGGTAACGGGAGGACACAAACTAGCGTCCTCCCGTCACCCTAGGCTCAGTATACCGCGAGCTACAGCTCGCGGTATACTGAGACGCCGGAGCGGATCCCGACATCGATCTCGAGATCCGCCCAGCTGCGTGAGTGACAACTGGCTCTGCCTATCTAGAGGCAGAGCCAGCTGTACCCTCCCCCGTCCGTTCCGCCAGTCAGCGCTGGCAGATCGGAGAGGGGAATCCAGCCCCTCCCCTGTCACGGCAGAGAGCCGTGACAGGATCGAAAGGTGAGCGAACCCGGTATGTGTTCGCTCACCTACCGATCTACTGATCGGTAGAACTATGAGGTGAGTGAAAAGCACTCCCCTCATAGTTCTCCTTTAACTGTCCAGCAGCTACAAAGTACTGAAGTATCTGGTTTGGGTAGACTAACATTTCAGTAATATGGCCCCATATCTAAACCATAGTTTCTTTCATCTGTAATTTATGGGTACAAGTGGCACAACATATAATCTGAAACAGACTTGCTATTATTTGTATTGATAAGGTCCACCTAAAACATACTCAGGAAGATTTGTTTTTTGTCCTTTTGTAGACCAAAACTGGAGGAATTGTTTGAAGCTGAACTTGTACAATGTCTTGTTTTTATTATTAAAGTGAGACTAAATTCAGGAGTTTAAAGCTTGAAAATGCATTCAAGTATGAAGGTGCCCACACACCTTGCGATAATCGTACAATAATCGCGGGAAATTCCCCTCGATTGTACGAATATCGTAAGGTGTGTGGAAGCCGTGCGACCTCTACTACTGTAAGAATACGTCAAAGTTTTAGTGAATCCTTCGTTTTTATTTTTTGAAGTCACTCAAAGTGGGATCAAGCGCTTTCGGGGCCGCACAGGCCTAAAGTGATACTTGATACAGCGCCATCCGTAGTCATTGCGAGCACCCATTTTTTTCATATGGGAAGTCCAGTAAGGTGGGCTACAGGTCCTTGGGCATCTCTACTACTGTAAGGTCGCACGACTTTTATCTTACGAACATGTTCGAAAACCCGCCGAGAATCGTACGATTTTCGGCGGGTGTGTAGCATGTTCGTAAGATAAAAGCCGGACGGGCCGGTGTGTGCAAGCGCACACTGCCTGTTCGGCATTGCGGTCATCGGAAGCCCGCCCCTCAGCGGGGCGTGCTTGCGATCATAGCAAGTAAGATCTGCCTGTCCAAGATAGGCAGATCGTACGTTTTTTTTTTTATTACCTTACAACCATCGCAAGACAAAAGTCTTGCGATGGTTGTAAGGTGTGTGCCCAGCCTTAGCAATAGTCTGCCTTATTTGTGTATCACTCGGCTGTAGATCCTCAAATCATCTCTGAATTGGTGCTGACACTGTCCTTCCTTCTGGAGGGTGACTACTTTTGTACCCTATGTTCTCTGTGTGTTGTAAAGTAGCCACCACTCCAAGCTCACTCCTGTGATGGACTACAATCTCCATACAAAGTAGTAAACTAAGCATGTGATTGTAGTCCATCACAGGAGTGAGCTTGGAGTGGTGGCTACTTTACAACACACAGAGAACATAGGGTACAAAAGTAGTCACCCTCCAGAAGGAAGGACAGTGTCAGCACCAATTCAGAGATGATTTGAGGATCTACAGCGGAGGGATACACAAATAAGATACATTTTTGTTAATAGTTAAGGTACTTGAATGTATTTTTAGGATTTAACTCCTGAGTTTGTCACTACAGTGTAACTATGCAACTGTATATAACTGTTAATACAGCTATATGTTAAATTTGCAGTTTCTGGTTTGTCAAGTTTCTGATCCTTGTTGCAATGTGTTCCGGAGCCTTCTTCCTCCCTGATCAGGATACGTTCCTTCTAGGTAATTTTGTTTGCTACTGTGTTTATAGTGCATTTTACTAACAATCTGCTGGCAGATAGACAGGTGTGATAAATTCAACCTATACATGCAAGTAATACATAGTAGGTAAAACCTGTTGGGGAAAAAAGGTAATATACTTGCCTCACCCCTGAATTTCACACTGCAGGTGGTGGTGACATTACATTCTCTCCAACAAGATCCTGGGGAATGCGGAGTAGCCCAAATCTCACGAAGTGTCACTCCAGCTTTTCCCTGGGTCTCGCTGGAAGGAGTGTGACATCACCCTTGTCTATGAATATCTCCCTATGATGAGAACTGCACCAGCAGGATATAGTAACGATTAATCTCCCCTGATCTCACAATACTCCACTTGTGATTGATTACTTCCACGTGCTACTTGTGTAGTTTACACTATTGGGAGCCATTTGTTCCATCTGTTTAGTGATCGGTCACAATAGAAGGAGTGGTTTTTGTTTTGTTTTTTTAATTATTATTTCTAACCGAAAATCCCTCAATTACTGGTTTGCAAATTTCAGGGCCGTGAACTTCAGTTGGTGTGTCAGCTTAGATGTGTTTCTATTAATAGTTGTATGTGATTGCTGCATTGCGGTTTCTTTCTGGCAAGTGTAAGAACTCAATTTCTGTTCTTCATTTACTGTTCTGGTATCTGATAATGTGTGATTGACTGACAGAACATGAGGCTGGCTGATGCTGTATTGGAAGAGAAGATCACAACATTGTCACTGAAAATTTATACTGAAAATTTTCACTGCAACACTTATTGGTTTTGTATACTTTATCTGTATTGTTATATATTTATACGTTTTTTTTCGATCAATTCCAGCCAATATTCCTTCAGTGGCTACTTCCCCTTATAACATCCCCTTTAGTATATAAGGGTTGCAGTTGTCAAGATTGGGAATGAGTTAGATCTTGTGTCAAGTTTTGTTTTTTTATTGCTGCCTGTGTCTCCACTGGGTAGATTGACCCATCTTCCTGTCCAGGTGACTACTGTCAGCGAGACAGAAAATTAGGGAAATCCAAAAGTTGTCACCAGAACAGACTACAGAGTGAATCATCCAATGGGACACCTGTTCCGATGACGGCTGTCTAATGCTACATCCACACCAGCATGTCTGCATTTTTGAAATACAGAAGTGATTTGGGAAGTATAAACAACTTTTTATGCTTCCTCGATCTTTTTCTTTTGCATTTTTAGTGTTCCTGATTTAAAGCTGGTTTACCCGTTTTTTTATTTGTGTTTAGCCGCGTTTGTCTCTAATTGGATGTTGGGTCCACAGAATTCTTTTTTCTCTAAATGCAGCTAAACCGATGCACCTAAATGCAGGTGAACGCTCAGTTTGAGTGATGCCAATGAAAAACCATTAGCTGAAATTATATGCGTTTAGAGATGTCCTGTATAAATGCAGGTTTAACACTATCAGGGTTATTCACAAAAGGGTGAAGAGTTTGGAGAAGTGAACAATCTAGGACAAAATAGCTGATATGGAAAAATTCTCCCATTCAGCTCACTTTCCAGTTCAGCTATGTTGTCCTAGATTGTTCACTTCTCCTGTCTTCTCCAAACCCTTTTCTGAATAACCCTGTATGAGTGTCAATGAGTTCTCAGATGGAAAGTTTCTTTACTTTGGTCAGATTTCAATTTCCTAATAAGAAAATCTGCCTGGTGGGACACACAGGAATTAATAACCTAGTAGGGTTTTTAACTTTCCCTACCTTTCTATCCAAAACAAATTATATCTATATAATGCGTGTACACTGTAAAGGACAGTATTCTATTATTCTGTGATATTACTTGGACAGGAAGCCACATGTCTATTGGAAAATGTTGCCCCCACTCCCCTTATGACCTTCATCTATTCACTACTGATATGTTCATGAACATTTACATATTTATAGATATTAAGGTACTTTTATCCATTAAATGCAATGTATGTTTAGTAACCTTCTAAGTAACACATGAGATGATTGGCATGTGCAAGTGTATTTGTAACATATTAATGGTGTGTTTTCACCAGGAGATTTCTCAGGGGAGATCTAAGCTCAGCTGACTTCCTGTCTGTTATTCTTGTATGCAAGTTTTGTAGCCATAAGAACTGACAACTATTTGATTTTAAAGTCAGCATTATTGTAGGCTGATAAACACCTAATATTGTTTTTTAGGATAGACTTATGTAATTGCATAAATCGTTCTATATTAGCCAATTGTTATTAAATAAAGTGTCATTTCTTTTATTTGCAGTGTGGCGCTATATTGGTGCATTGTTCGCTTTTTTCTTCTTGATTATCCAGCTCATGTTACTGGTAGAATTTGCTCATAAATGGAATAACAATTGGTAAGTCCTATTCTGAAATACAAATGTTTGCGAACTTGATAATGCATTGCAGACTATAGGAATATATAGCAAAGGATTACATGGTATAGTAATTCATAGTGTCCAATCAGATTTCAGTTCAGGTGTCGGCAGTAGTTTTGCAGTTTGTACCAAGTCTCTATAGAGATTGCATTGCTGCCCGGCATTTAGCTTCTTACTGGTATTCCTGTCATCCGATCAGCTGCTGGTTGGAATGTGATTGCTTTGCATGGAACAACTAACTGATCTTCAGAGATTTTGATAAATCAGGCAAATGATTGGATTTTGCCTATTATTATTATTATATTATTATTATTATTATTATTATTATTATTATTATTATTATACAGTATTTATATAGCACCACTTTACAATATCAGAAAGTATTGCAGTTACAATACAAATCAAGACAAGATGGTAAGGAAGGCCCTGCCCGTGAGGGCTTACAATCCAAAGGAAGGGCAAGTGACAGAAGAGCTGGTAGCTGTGTGGGGATGAATTGTTTGAGAAATTGATCAGTTATTATGATGAGGTGGAATGGCTTCCCTGAAGAGATGAGTCTTTAGGGATTGCCTAAAGGCAGACAGAGTAGGAGATAGCCAGACAGGTTGGGGTAAGGAGTTCCAAAGGATGGGAGAGATGCTAGAGAAGTCCTGGAGGCGAGCATGGGAGGAGTTGGACGAGGGAACTAAATTCTACCTAGAACAAAACTTTAATTTTATTTTTGGCTACAGTAGGGGCTGATTAGAGCCTGTTTCTGTCTGTACCTCATATGGGAGAATTTCTTTCACTTCCTGTTTTAGAAACACAACAAGAAATTAAGAGAAATCTCTCCAAAGGAATCTCTTCTAGATTGTTGTCACTGTAACAGGGGTTCCTCATTGCAGGATTTCCCCTCTATTTCTGTTCTGGTGGCCACTGTAAAAGGTTTTTTTGTATTTTGCGCATTTTGTGTTTTTCTTCTCTAACCCGCACTAAAATGCTGACAGCGGCTATCTGACGGCAGAGGCTTTAGATAAGATGGTCAGCATTCTGGAATCTTTGGGAAATGTTTTATTGCTATATAATTTCGCCGCAGTTACTACAATGTCCTGTATGGGGCTTTGCTGAGCGACTTCCCCTGCTTCGAAAACAGAGGGGTCGCTTGCTCGGCACAGTGGCCATTCAGAGATAACTTAGTTTTATCAATGAGCACTAGGTATTCTCTGATTGGAGGAGAGTCACTGAGATATCCATAGTTGATCCAAAACTAAAAGGAAAATATTTAGCAGTATTTGGGCTTTAAGTGTCAAAGGTCATCCTAGATACTATTCAAATCATGGTGCTGTTTTATATTTAATTATAATTAATTATATTGAACTAAATTTATAAGTTTTTTATTTGATTGGACGAGGGATGGTGACGTCATTATGGCTGCTGTGCTGGGAGAGGGACCCCCTGTGATTTCAGAGCAGAGAGGAAACTGCTCAGCACAGCACCGTACCGTACAGAACCCGGAAGATCTCTGTCCTGCACTTTACAGGACCCCGATGGGCCAATCAGTTATGGATATTTACATTGGGCCAAGCTTGACCAATGTAGGTATGTATAATACTATATATCTCGTGTTCAGCTTTGAAGCAATCACCTGTATTATTCTTTTATTCACGTGTATTTCCTTTGTTCTAATTTTGGTGTTTGATATTTTCCTCCGTCAGGCATTCTGGAACTGCACACAATAAACTGTGGTATGGGGCGTTGGCACTGGCCATCCTGTTACTGTACACCATTGCTGTGGGAGCCCTCGCCCTACTGTCATGGTTCTACACCCACCCTGAGCATTGTGAGCTCAACAAAATCCTGCTGGGCGTCAATGGTGGCCTTTGCTTATTCCTGACACTTGTGTCCATATTACCGTGCGTGCTGAAACGTGAGTATTACGTAGCTGTATAAACCCTTTAGATTTAGTGATTGTACAATCTCCTTTAAGGTAACCACAAACTTCTAAATCCAGTCGTACAATTTCCATTGCATTACCAACAACAATATAGTGGGAGGACCTACCAAAGCAATCCATTCCATTTACATAAAATCAGGCAATTCTTCACACTGCATAGTTGATGGTAAATCTAATGGAAATTGTATTGTCTAATTGTATTCTGCATGGTCATCTAGAAATATTGAATGCTGCCCCACCTTCTTCACTATAGCCAAAGGGCCTGTAAACCCTCCAACTTTCTGTATAGTTTCTGTATATACTAACGGTGGCCACACAGATTGCAGCCTGATTCACCAACAACTAATGCATTGACGCATCTAAACAGTCCAAGTAGCATGAACAGTCTGGTTGTAACGTGTGGCGTCTTTAGAATTACCAAAAATGATGTGGTGCGAGGGCCAGTCTAGATGTACATTGAAACGGTAATTTAGGCAGGACTTGCACTGCATAGCTGTTAGTAAGTATGCTGGCCACATACTTTACAAACTCCTTCAGATCTACTAGCTATCATGCCTGCATGACAAGGTTCAAATTGAATGGGATGTGTAAGGTAGGACCCTCATATTACATAATTTGGTAGTAGCAAAGGAGGTTGTGTAAAAATTGTACAATTAGATTGTATAGTGTGTGCTTATCTTAAAGGGGAGATTATGCCAATGATTGTACAGTAATTTAGTAATGTGTGTGATTTAGCTTTAGAGTCTATACATAACAATCTGTGTTATATTTAAATTTGCATACCAGCCACCTGAAGTACACCTCAACATGGCAGTTCCTCTATTTTACATATAGTAGCATAACAACTGAGGATTCGCATTCTGCTTTATTTGTGTTCCTGGGTCCTCCTCATGTCTTATTCAGATCAATGAACTTTTTACTTTTACACAAGATACAATTGCTACTCTGTGCCTCTAAAACAAATTATATTGTATTAAAACTCCTAAAATGGCCACATTTTCACCATGCACAGATGTAAAGCTGTCCATATACTTTTCATTTTCTCTAATTCAGCCCTTCTGGATACCCCCATCCCTGCTAAGGCGTGTGTATGGAATCCCCCCACCAGGCTATTGTGTTCTGATAGCAGTGGGCGTGCTGCTGTCCAAATTAGTTGCAGTCACTGTTCAGCTTAGAATTTTTGGACTGGCTCCTTCGATAAGTTAGTTAAAAATTGATTAGAGGAGTGCCGATTTTGGCAAGCAGAGTCACCAGGACTCCTCCATAATGCAAGCCATGTATAACCAGCTCAACTCCTGTATTCCTGTATTGCCTTTTCTTTCCCCGTATAATGTCAGGTCTTTCTAAAAACAATTATGTATATCTTACAATGTTCTTTTTTTTTTATTATAAGATAACCCACAGTCTGGATTGCTGCAGTCAGCCATGATCAGCTGCTATGTCATGTACTTGACCTTCTCTTCTCTGTCCAACAAGCCACCAGAGACAAGTGAGTGTTCCATAACATCTTCAAACATATAGTTTTTTCTATCTAAGCACATATACTTGGAAGCACATGTTGGGGAGATTTTGAATACTTGGTTTTGGCGTAACGTACAGTTAGGCCCATAAATATCTGGAAAGTGAGCCGATTTTCATAAATTTGTTTTTTTCTCCCACCATAATGGGTTGCAAATAAAGCAATCAAGATATCATGAATATAGACTTTCAAATTTAATTAAAAGGTTTACCAAGAATATTGTATGAGCCATCTAGGCATTGCATCTATTTTTATACATGTTCCCCTCCTTTTCAGGGGGCTCAAAAGCAATTGGACAAATGCACATGATTAAAATGATCATTTTTAATACTTTGTAGAAAACCCTTTAGCAGTCAATGACTTCCTGGAGTCTAGAACATATGAACATCATTGATGATCTCTCTAACGATTCTTTGCCAGGCATTCCCTGCAGCCGTCTATTACTTCTTGTTTGTTGTTTTTTCTATCTTCAGTTTTGCCCTTAGTAGTAAAATGCATCTTCACTTGGTCAGGTGACTGACATGGCCATTGATGAAAATTCCACTTCTAAAAACTCTTTGATTATTTACCCAGTATGGTTTGTCCATGTGTACTGTGAATCACAGACCTTTTAGTTTGGCAGCATTTGGCAGACCAGAAAGTATAGTGCTATAGACTTCAGATTTCATCCTGCTTGCTGCTTCTGTCAGCAGTCATATCATCAGTGAACACCAGTGACCCAGTGCTGTGGCTTCCATACAGCTAGTGGCAACAACTCCAATTTTGTGTTCATTTTCTTTTTCCAGTTTTGATAAGTCAGCCCCTAAGGTTTTAAAGCCCATTTCCACCTTTGCATAGGTATTT